CTGAAACTTTGTGGTTTTCAAAAATAACAGATTTAAGCAATGATTCTCTGGTCATTCAGCCTGCAGCCTATTCACTATAACTTTCTGCGAGCTCTTCTGTGGAACAGACAATGTTCATCTTTATGATCATGATGCATATTATTTGGATAAGAACTGTCATGTAAGGTGCCCTGACGATCCTTTCAAATAACAATGAGTATCCCGGTCTCAAGTCTGTGGAACACACAATCATAGTAATTTAAACTTCAGGTACACATAAGTCTTGGTTTATTTAATGATGATTCTTCAGCTGTGTCAGTTATACAGTGCCGAATGATGAACTGAAAGGTTCTTGGACAATTTCAGGAAAATGTCCAAATATTTGTCAGGAACACAATGATGAAACACCCCAACTGCAATATACAGTGCATGAACCGAGACTGTTAACTAGCATTCTCTGAATATGAAGTCAGACCCCTGCTCTCCCCCGCAGATATTTGGGAAAGAAAAGAAGAAATTGTGAGGGGCGGGAACTTGGAAACAGACCCCCACAACTCTAGAGTAATATATACAAAATATTCAAACTAAACAGCTTAAAGTAAATATGTAAGCAAATGCCCATAGATAATGTGATGAAAGTGTGAAGCTGACATTCGCCACCTAGTGCCAAGGTTAACAATTGAAAGCATGTATTTTACCAGTGTCATATACACACACAAGGGCTACATTACCATTCATGTTACTTTATAAGTTCTATAAAATTTTAAAATGTGATTACTTTTGACTGGTATCCTGATTTAACACTTTTCTCTCCAACAAATCACTCTGTGAAACTATGCATGTCTTCTCGTGTTTCTTCAAAGCCTCACTGCCAACCTTCAGCCCATCTAAAACTTCTCAAAAACATATGTCATTATGATAAATACATTTTGTTATTAGGGGTTCATAATTTGGATTCATTTAAACTTTGCTCTACATCAAGGCCACATTTACAAGTGACTCAAAAGTTCAATCACTTCCCCATAGGTAAAGAAAAACTAAAGCTATCTCTGTAACAGGCCACGAAGGCCCAAAGGGTTCTGAGACATCAAGGCTCCCATGTCTTATAGACAATCGCCTCACAGATGGCAGGAAGATTGTCAGCCCTACGCGTTGGCCACTCTTTACTCCCAGGAAGATTAATGGTACTAATTTCTGTTAAAGGGCTGGGTCGACACCAAAGTCATAATGCAGCTGGAAGGATTAGGTCAATTAAAAAATCCTATGACCTCATCGGGATAAATCCCATGACTTTCCAGCTTGTAGCACGGTGCCTCAACCGTGTTACTGTGTCCCAATCACCTCCACATCACATACTAAAATAATGGGGATGATGTGGAGAGAAAATATGGTTTCTCTTTAGACCAAACTTAGTTAAAGATGATATGGCGATGAAAAATAACACAATATATACAACTCTAAAATAAAATGCAGACCCTTCCCTGCATGTAACCTATGTACATCAGTTCCTTTAATTGGAACAACAAAACCTTAACTGCATATAATCTGTGAACATTCCACTTTGGTCACGAGCTGCTCCAAGGTATTCAGCTGGCCATCAGTCTTTTGAAGAATTTCCTCTTGCCATTTTGTTCTCCTCAGCACTATCTTCGCACAACTGATATAAACAAACAAACAAATAAAGCTGTTAACACATCGTTACAATGCTAAAATTACTCTACAAAAAACTACAATGGCAACTTCTCCACATATTCGTGATATATTCAAAATGTGGTCCATTAGACAAATTTAAAAGAAGTTATGTCTGTCCCTAAACATAATTCTATGAAGGCACACAGAGGCATGGAGGTAAGCTCCATATATTATTAACTTTGGCTTTATATAGTAAGTTGTCAGCTTCACTCTACCCACCGTGAGAAAGCCTTCTGTACTTGTTTGATAGAATGGGCAAGCCCCAGCTGCACAGCACATAACTGACCATTTTAATGACACATACCAACCATATTTTGAGTATTACCAGATTGACATATTTCTAAATAATAAATTTGGCTTCTATCTCTGTTTATATCCCCATGTGGAGGCAGGTGAGAATGCCTCCACCTTAGCCCTGCCGAGTTGTGGAAAGCAATAAAAAGGGAACTGTCCCTGAAACCTTGACCTCCTGGATGGGTGGTTGGATGCAAGGCTGACAACCTTGGTCTGTACAAAAATTACTGCTACGAAACCAAAAGAAGTGAAAATCAGATCAAATCTGGCAGAATCTTTAAGGAAGTCTATGGCTCTTGCCAGTGATGATGATGACATCTGTTCATCACCTTTATTTTCAAATTTTGCCTCCTGCTACTCAAATTCTACCCATATGTCCACTTCTCTCTGCTGCTCGCTACAAAATCTGTTCAGTATGTCATCCACACAAGGCACAGAATCTAGCCATCATATAAAGAATACCCGCAAGCGCCAATACAAGATAATGTAAATACTCAGCAGTACTTTAATAATAACTTCTTGGGTAATTCGGACATTTAAAATTATAGTACATCTACCAGACATAGTAGCATTTATAAATATGTAAGTAGAAACTTACTCTCTCTGTCGATCTTTCAGAAGTGTCCGTGCAAGCCTTCTATCGTGTTGCAGATTTTCTTCTATTTTCTTCTGATACTTTTTTATTTTATCTCTCTGTTGCTTTAGTTGCTAAAATTAAACATATGAACAAACCATAATGTAATCCAATGTACTTCTATAAAATACACTTATAATTACAACTCATGAGCAGAAAATAAAGACACAAATAAAAAAAATTCAAACTCAAGGTTATTCCCACATTACTACTGTTACTGCACAAACATTATACCATAATAATAAAACTTCCAACTGTTCCAACTTACCAAAAGAGCTTTGTCATATCCTGTAACCCTACTCCTTGGCTTCTTACTTTTAGTACATAACATCCCCATTTTAATAGATATAGTTTAACTAAATTCCTTCTTTCAGAAAAATAGTATTAAATATCACGCTCCTTACTAAAACACAAACAAATTTAAACCAATACTGTCTTGAGACTTCTAACACTTCCAACTCTTTCAAATGACTGACCAGGAATGACGGTTAATAACAGTTGAACAACTGGTGCACTGATTACACACACCTGTAGCATCATCAGTAGCGAGTTCCGTAGTTCCTAGCTTCATGTGCTGCCACCTTTGCGCCGCTCTCAAATAAGAGAACGGCAATATGAATTTATACATACTGAAACTACTTGTCACAGAAACACGATTAATAAACAGGATATTCCTTCCGAAAACAGCAACAAATTCACACTAAATCTCTTTATTCGCTTTACTCCACCATAACGACCATAACAGTTGACTGAAAGCCACAGCCAATTGCTGCAGACAAGACACCTAAACTCACGTAACTGCAACGTTATTATTTGGGACCGTCGCTACCGTCACAGATCAACGGTAGTGGGTAAAACTGCTGTACATTCGTTTACTGTCCTCAGATATCTGAATTCTGCCACTTTTTCAAAGCAACCGTTGGCTATCTTTATGTCATGATTCTGCCCTACATTCTGCTGATGAAACATAAACATATACTTACTTTCCTCTGTGCTTGCTTTCACACAAACCTCCTTACCAGCATCAATTAAAGTTTCTGTTTTTTTTCTCATTGTGGTATCTACTTCACACTTCCTTACAGGATTCTGCCACATTTGTCTCCTGTATTAGTGCACCCAGGTACACATCATCAATTTCGCAACAATTATTATTACAGTGCAAGGTCATCTGCCTTGCATGCGACAGCTAACCCACAGGACCAGGTCTCTGTACTTATTTCCCAAGGTGACAGGGTGGCCCATGGACAAGCCCAGCTTCATGTCTAAGAGAAAACGTTTCCACCAGTATAATATATCTAAAAACATTAGTAGTTATGAAATAATCATTCGTAATCATGAAAACATACCAGAATTCATTATTTCTACATTTCTTTTACTTCCTTCACAATGAAAGGCAAAAACACAAATTCTCACTCTACGATCAGTGAGGTATACTATGTTATTCGAAGTGTATCACTGCAACAAAATAACTTTCCTCATAAATATTCAGTTTTTCTTGGTACTAATTGGTCTACAAGTGAACACAGAAACAACTAAATATATATTTATGTCTTGTCCTTAACTACAGGGCAGAATCATAAGAAAAAGATAGCTAATCAACTCTTTGAAGGAGTTGGGAACGGTCAAATAAATATTTTGCAAAGAGAGAAAAAAAAAAAAAATGTTGAGTGGTAATTAAGGGCTGATCAAATCGGGGGGGGGGGGNATTCCTTTCAAAATCTTCTGTCTTCCATTCTGTTCCCCAAAGAAAGGACAGGTTAAAATATACAAGACTCAGACTTTATTTCTTCTTATTTTACGAAATGTGAAACTCTGCACTGAAACTCAGATGACCGTAATCGTTACAATAATTTCTGAATGGACTGCCATTTTATGTTTAATCAATACATCTGTGCCACTTTTAAGATAAGATTACAGGTCATTTTGTGCATGGAGTTTACATATGGGGTCAGTTTGAGTATCAGAACAGACAGTGAATCTTTCACTGAAGACCATTAGCTGATAGATCACTGTCAAGTTGATGCGGAATGTTTCATTGAGGTAGAATTCTGTCTCTATTATTAAACTGTTACAAGAAGGAAGAAATATAAGCATGATGGAGAAGAGTACACTGAGGAGCTACTTAATATGTACTCTTCGATACATGTTAAAAGAGTGATGCGATCAGCTCAGCAGACTCCTACAGAGGCATTTGAGTTTGAATCTCCATTCCTTCAACATATATATGTTGACTGCAGCTTGCAGCGGTTTTCTTCAGTTATTCCATGCAAATGTCACACTAAACTAATGCCATGATGTTCCCATCCTATTCCTGTTCAATCAAATCTTACTGTCTCATTCCATTCTACATACACTCTCAGATGACACAGCATCGATAAATAACATGAGAAGCAATTTGCCAAAGGCACTCCACTCACTGCAGTAACAAAGCTTTGGGGGTCAAAGTAGGACAAGCTCCACAAGAGAAGCTATAGCAGTCTAGTTCATGCTAAAGGCCACAAGAATGAGCAAACATCACACAAGATCTGCATATAAGAAAACACTGTTTACAGCCCGTGGAGGCCCATAGGTGTGTGAGACGTTAAGGTTCCCACATTTTCTAGACAATCGGCTCGCAGATGGCGGTAACCTTATCGGCCTTACGCGGCAGTCGCTCTTTACCACCTACATTCCAAGAATATTACTGGTACTCATTTCTGCTAGAGGCTTGATTCGACCAAAAAAAAAAATAAATCCAATGACCTTCCTTCCGGCTTGCAGCTCATTACCTCAACCAACAGCTGTACTGTCATGAAAACTGTTGCCCTCTGGAGTGCCAACCCACTGTCTCGGTAATTTAAGTTATGAACTATGACATGGATGGCCAGAGTGCGATCCCTGCTAGAAAGGTAAGGGATGATACTTTCTTCAACACTGCTCGGGGCAGCACTGAGGCCCAACCACCATACCACTACAGATAAACATAAATGGGGATCCTTCCATAGTACAGGCAGTTGGATCTTCAAAATAATCACGTTTAGATCTCAGGTGAAGAATACATGAAGGTTGACCACCACCCTCACCCCTCACCACCAAGACCCTTAATACTCCGTCATCATCTCTACAATGTGCTTAGATAACATATGGAGCTGATGAACATCAATCTGAAACAAACACAGCAGTCTCATCATGCGTACAGCATCTACACCTCTGGCATCACTCACCAGAAAATGGATGCCAAGAAATGCTAGGACAAAAAGGAAAGTGGATACAGACTACAAAATTCATTTCTGCCTGAAATAATGTCTCTTTGCCCTGATCACCTGAATGCCACGCATCATATTATGGGTAAAGCACTATTAACAAGACTCTGAAAATATACAGCGCACACTTAACACTGACATTGGCAGAAGGATTTACGATTCAAAAAATTAAAGACTATGCTCAACTGTTACCTTGTCACCACCAGCCACTGAATTCACACGCAACTATTCATTGTCGGGTCAAGATACTCACAATGACGAGAAGTCAAAGATATAGTGCCCCCAGAATGAATTCCACATTTCTGAAACGTGAAAGTTCAAAACTGAGTTCATTACGTCACTATTAATTACCTCAACAACCGTAGGCCTAAGAATTACAGAGAAAATGTTGCACTGTTCTTTAGAACTTCTGTTCAAAATATTATTCCCTAATTTTAACATTTAAACAGATGTGGCCAGAAATGCATGTGGGGTCTTCATTTAAAATGGTCATTAAAACATTTGCTCTCCTCCATGCTGCTTTCTTGCTTGGCTCATTCACTCACCTACAAGATGGACGTAACACACTACTCTCAAGTGTATCCCGAATACCAACAGACTACACGGCCTTATATTCCAGAAGACAAGACCTCTCAAATTCCCATCCAAACAAAACTGATTAAAATGAAGCATATGTTATGCATTATGTGTCCAACATCATCTTATATAACGTTAAACCATTTCAAGAAATATCAAAACAAACAAGTTGCAATCTTCTACTAGATAACACTGTGTCATTCAACAAAGACAGAATCTAGACACCTTTCATAAAGTTTCACGTGCCCTGCAGTAATTACCGTCCCCAATTTTAACACGATACTGCGACTCACCTCCAACTAGGGCACAGGTCAAGAAAACGTCTGTCTATATATCCACAACCCAACATGTCTTCGTGGCACAGGTGTACTGCTTAATTACTTAAGCACGGTAAGAACACCAACAACTTTTGCTCTTCTTCCTAGGTGGAAACCCGCACAAAAAACAACAAGTAAAGTTACAGGTCTGTGTATCTTGCCTCTGCTATTTTTAAACAAGAGGTCAGAATACAGAAGATTCATGCCTTTTCCAAATTCAGTGTGCTCTCAGTTTATTTTCTTATGAAATTCCGGGTCCCGGAATAAGTAAACTTTGTTCCATTTTCTAAGGATATATTTGGCATCTCTGGTGATAAGACATGGACATATACTTACTTACCTTTCTCTGGAGTGCAATAAAATAGCCTGGCAAAATGAGTGAGCGTGGAAGACCCGATATCTGATTCTGGTATCCTGTAAATAAATGATGAGAATTTCGGAGTCAACCTGACGACCTGCACAACACAGAAGAACAAGCCACAAAACAATAAGAGATATTACAGGAGGGACACGAGGAAATGAAGACCATGACGAGTGTTAAGATAAACACACAGGAACCATTCACGGAAACAACCTAGGAGAGGAAAAACATACATCAACTGTGATGCTGCTGATATTCATCATTATCACTACCGCATGAACACAAAAGTGAGGATAAGAAATAGCCATCATTTATTATCTGTAGCTGTGCTGACGTTCACTCACGGAAACAACCTAGGAAAGGAAAAACATACATCAACAGTGATGCTGCTGATATTCATCATTATCACTGCCGCATGAACACAAAAGTGAGGATAAGAAATAGCCATCATTTATTATCTGTAGCTGTGCTGACGTTCACTGTCACATCAGAATAAATAGTCAAAGTGTGCTCTCTCTCTTCACAACAACTATAGTGGCTATACATGCCAATAAGTTACGAAAAATACTCTGCATATAATTCCACACGATAATGTTCACAACAGCACAGAATAATCCAGCTCTTCGAGCAGTCTTCCTTGACGCACCTGTGCAGCCTGCACTTATCTCATCTCTCTGCAGTGGCATACCCACATGGAACTAGTGCACGATGTCTGCGTGCGGATGGTCCACTGACACGTCAAAGAAAGCCATTCTCACGGAATGCCAGCTCCTCTGCTTGCGCCAGGTATACCTGTAAGACAATATCGAATATCAGTAACAGATTCCAAGACATTTTTCAGGTCTGGAGAATGCAATGAATACAACGAGTCTCTGCTGAAGAATAAGGAACGTTTCAATAACTTTTCACTTCTCATACTTTTCACAGACGGGCCGTATCTACTCGTATGTGCTCGTATCGCCAAATGATGGGAACGGTGGACTCGTTACAACAGAACCGTTGGCGCATCAGTTCACCTCTTCACCAGTGTTCTAAGTCAGCACGTGCAACCAGGGCAGCAGATACACGAGGCAGTGCCCATCTCCTCACATTACTGCCATGTGAGAGAAATGTCTAGGCCAGGTTCAGTCTCAAGGGAACGATCTGGAGAGCAATAGAGCAAGTATCTGCAAACCACATCATTGCTCCTAACATCAAAATTGAACTCTGAATTTGTAGCCACCTTCACATTTATGAACACAAGTTAAGCGTGTTAAAGTGGTGACACTTCTGACTTCTATTCCGAAGAGCCGTGGTTTCAATTCTGCCCAAGGCTGGCTGAGGACTTTCTTCTGGTTTTCCTCACTCCCTTCAGGAAAAAGTTCAGTCAGTAACTTAAATTATACCATTACTGATTCCATCCACATCCCTTCCAATCGTTATTACCATCTGATGCAGTTTTAGTCTCATTTACTGTCACTGAAATGCAAATAAAATATAAACAGATGTGGAACAACTTCCAGCTACAAATACAGGCAGATGCTGGCAGGGCACCTCATTCTAGATCACAACTGCCTCTACATAGTCCGACCCACTGACAGTATTAGTAAACAAACCGTAAATAAATGAAATTAACAAAAACAAAACAACTTCTGAAACCAAAGTTTTCAATTAATTATCATCATCAATACATTCCAAATAGCACAAAACCAGTCACTAAAATTCACTAACCTCTGACGCTGTGTTGAGTCAAGGCTGCTCTGGGTGGAGGCACCTGTGTCCTATCTTTACCACATCTTCCACAGCTCCTGGATGCTCTACTATCCTGCAAGCTAAGGAAAGACCCGCAGCGGCCATTTCCCTCTGACGAAACAGGGTGAAGGGGTGGAGCACATACAAAATTCATGGGCTGATGCATGGCCGTGTACTGAAAAACAAGTTAAGAAGAAACAGTACAGCTCAATACTACAGAACATGCGACTGATTCACACATTCTATCATGCTCATGAGAAAAACAGGTACCCAACACACAAACTCAAGGACTGCACCTCTCCAAAACTACAGTCTCATCTTAGACATCACATGCACATTGACCTGATTCACATAACACACCACTCAAAAGTGATTATTATGGCAGAAATTTCTCTGACACAGAAAAAACAAAGGCCCTACATTAACAATCGTTATCATAACTTCGTATATTAATATAGTTCCGCTCTATTGATCTACATTCAAATGTGGCTATAAAATTTGACTTCTCTCCCTCTTATCTCTAAAAAGAATACCCTCTCATCCAGTGAACTCTCCACATTAAATTTCCTGTTCCAGCCAAAATAGCACGAGAAAAAAAGCCTCTTACATTAAGTAGAATGAGCTAACATAATGAGCATGCTCTTCTCTCGTCCTTATCATCATATTATAGCTGCAATTTTACGGGAATCTCCTAACTGTAGGCAGGACACATTTTTATTTTCACATATAAATGGGTTATGGGTTTTTGGAGGTTATCAGTAAACTGTGAAACCCATGTATTTTCAATACTGTGTCATCACACACACACACACACACACACACGTCTTCTCTTTCATACGAATGCCCACACAGGATGTTTGTCAAGTAATAACAGGCGGAGAACTCCTCACTTATGTCTTTGTTATTCCGCAAGAAGCCATGCACAGACCTAGACTTACAAATGCCAGGGAAACGCGCCCTTCTTCAGAAGCTAACAATCACTCCACTATTCAAGAAGTCTCCCAACATTTTATGGAACCAGTCATTCACTGACAATTTCACACAAGCCAGATGAATACAGTCCATACCAGTCCATTCCTTCAATAGCTGCTGGTCATAACGCATTTACATTTAACTGGTGACACATGATAATGATACCCGGCCATTAGTTTTAAGAAATATGCCCTATTTCTAGTTTCCACAATTATAGGAACCTAACTTGGCGGAAAGAAAAAATAACTGGAATAATACCACTTGTTAAAGCAGTATCTATTTCACAAATTTAATGTACATGTTTTGCTATAGTCTGTGGTAGGAAACTCAGAAATACATCCCTCTTTCCACTGACAATTAAAAGGTTAAATTGCAACTTCAGCAATGTTTTCTTGCCTACTGTATATTATTGTTTCACTCTTACAACCACTCCTTCTGATCTGCAAATTATTTTACCTCTACCATAATATATTCAGCTTTATTCTGATGTGAAGATTTCTTATGTTTGTCCAAGAAACTCTTAAGACTGACTAAAGCAATGATAATAATGAATTCGTACTGTCCCAGTTAATTCCAAAGCTGAAAATACATTCCCCAGTCTGCAACTATCTTTTCGGCATTTGCAACTTTCGATTTCATTACAAAAACAACGTCAATACACCAAGAAAACTATTCATTCACAAACAATATTGAACATTCTCCAATAATGTCCACATTAGATGAATAAATAACGGCAAAACACTTCTTATTACTACTTACATTTCATCAAAATCCTCATAAAACTTCCTTCGCCTGACCATCCAACTCACAAAATAACTGCCGACGCATAAACAAATTAGCTTCAAAATTTCTCCGCAAGTGGCGCGATTTCCAACCTTCATACCGCTCCATACCCCCACTCCATACATAGGGAAGGATAGGAACGATAGGGATGATAGGGATCATAGGGATGATCGAGTCGATCGAGTCATTGAGTAGGCTGAGTCAAACGAAAGCTGTTGAATAATTTAAATATTTAAAGGAACAGTGACGTTAATTTACTTGCTTCGCCCCTTGCTTTTAAAAAACCCGTGAGAATCTATTTGCTCGGTTTATTCGGAAGACAGCGTAAATCGTGGAAAACTGTATAAGAAAGCAGCCAATCATTCACTAATTTCAGACCCTTGCGGTTCCATGCCCATTCGGAAGCGGTTAGTGTGGGATGGTGAGGATGGTGAGTAGCAGGGAAAGATGTGATGGAAGTGAGATTTTGCGACTGTTTAGTTTTCAGACAATTCAATAGATACATTGGTGGGTCATCCGTGAACCGGCATCTGACACGGAAAGGTAGGGAAATATTAACTGCAAGAAATGTTTTTCTGTATATGATATTTAATGTCCAAGCATTCTATTTTTATAAGAGTCAAAAATGAACTCTTACAGGGCTGAAACCTAAAAACAAGTAATCAATATAATACTCCTCAGGTCTGTTGATTTTCTTCGTGTCGTGCATGTATCACTTAACAGCCATATTGGATGAGAAGAACTTTTATAATAATACAAAACAAAAACAAATGAATATAGATCACTATTAGCAACTTGAACATTTTTAGATAGACATGAAAGGATTCAGACGATGGTGTATACTGTACTTCTTTTGGCTTATTTTGGACTTCACCCATCGTCCGGTATATAAAAAAGACAAAAAACCACAACGTTTCGGAGACTGGATCTGTCTCCGTCTTCAGGTGTATAGGGAAGGTTTAACCTACTCAGTTGGGCCCCTTAGAAAGAGCTAGTCTCAATCACTGGACAAACCTTGATCTGTAGAAGCAACCTATGAACAACCGACAACCGGTTCCGTCAGTGGGAGGAAAGAATAAAATCACAGTAAAAACATGATAGAAACTGTTTGTGCCAAACATGCACTTGTCAACAATGTAAAGAAACAGAAGTATGGGTTATATTCCATGAATTCAGTTAAAAACGAAAGTAAAAACTGGATAAAGCATGCCTGATTTGCATGGATAAAGAATCGTGCCACCAT